TAAAGTATTCAACCTTCTAATTGTATATTAATTAATACACTTTATTTTCTTATAATTAGATATATCAAGTATCTCTTAAAAAATTCACGAGAATATTTAATAATTTATTTTCTGAACATCTGTTCTTAATAAATAAAATTTATTTTATGATTATGAGTAAATTAAAGTTTGGACACAATACTAAACTTAAAAGTACTTTACCGAAAGATATTACTTTATATATTGCTCTCGAGAAATATTACAAACTTTCGGAACGACTATACACTTGGTCTGACTATATTCGTTTTGAACTACTTTAATTGAACATATTAAAACACAACAAGGATATTATTACTTTACAATTCTCAACAAGGATATTATATCTCTACAAATCTCTCCGTAAAGATAACAAAACAAATCGAAAACTTTTCAAGTCCGACTTCAATGTAAATGACTTTAAGCTCATCACAGTGATGTACCAGACAAAGCGAACGTTTCTTGACTTCTCACAAGAGATGAATAGACCGAGATAAAGTCTATGTGCTTAATCTAACATGCCCTTTGATCGTAATGGAGAAGTACGAGCGGGGTTTTGCAATGATATCGATTTTCACTTTTAACTCGCAACTGAAAGCTTTAGGTAATAATAAAAATAAAGGATACGATACACAATTTTTGTTTAATTTTGACATGTATTTTTTATATACTATATAATAAATATCTTCTAGAGTTTACGTAATTTTAATATTTCTTCGATTTACATTGTTTTTCTTGCAGCAAATATCCACTTTTAAAATTAGATTGTACGCGACAAATTCTTTCCGTCCAACACAAGAGTTATAGTGAGTAATAATTCGCGTCTTCACAAAAGAGCCTTTTCAAGAAGATCGCACCGTCTCTTCACAATGTAATTTACACACAGATGCATTCGCGCATATGTACGGGACACCTTCACTTAGACCAATTTCTATAGTGCCTATAGCACTACCCTGGTCTTTTGTTTTCGTCGATTAAGAACGCCCACTGCTATTTAAACTACTACAATGTGCGCGGCTATATCATACATGTTTTGCCGCAGTCTGCTTACCTAACGGAGAAGGAGAAATTTTGTAATATCTCATAAATTTACTTGTCGACACATCAGATTTCTGACGAAATGTCACGGTTTTACGCTGCAAATTAATTCTAATAAACCAAATTTTATCGAAAAACTAAATTCGCGGTCGTTATCTCGATATCTCTTGCATTTTTGTAAGAAATCAATGCGATTTCAAGTGCCAAAAAGCATCGCCATTCTAAGAGAATTAATTAAATTCCATGTCGATAGTATATAGAGAAATAGTTTCTTTGAACAGCGCAGCGCCTCTTGGTAGATCAATAAAACGCGCTTTATGCAACGAATCTTTAAAGACGTTTTCTATTCTTTCAATGGCCTGAGTAAAGAAGGCAACAGGTTTGATTTTCCGCATCTTTGCTTTCGATCCGCAAACTTTAGATACTTTCTCAACATTTGAACCTCTTTTTATGCGACATTCTTATAACGTTCTTACGTCTATTGATCAGAATGAGTAGAAACTCCTGTAAAACTGCCTTTAAAACTTCTTTTCATATTCTTCGTATCGGGGCGCAATTGCTCTTTCACGATCGATGCTTGTCAGATTGGCAAATATTTACTCGAAAAATATATCTCTATATATTTTCCCTTTAATACTGTTAATTTAATATAATAATGGCATATGATAAAGATCATAATTATATGTTAATATAAAATTATATTTTTATCTCTCTCGCTTCTATTCTCATGTTTAAAAAATTAATATTAATTAGTTAAACATAATATACTGTGACATTATTTTATGCTTTTTATATTTTTAATATTAGCATATGCGATTAAATGTATCTCTTTTTATGATATTCTCTGATATTAAATGAATGATAAAATGAGGCAAATTTCTAGAAAATATTGAAGGAAACTGATAGAGAACAAATTTATAAAGAGATAAATAGGGATAAGAGAAACCTTATTTTTCCGAAATAAAAGCGAAAAGAAAATATTTAAGCGGTTTAGGAAATTGTAAACTCATTGTAACTTGTGAGCGGTTAGAACTGAGTCCTATACAAATTTACACTATTAAATTAAGAAACTTCGTAGTTCAGTCACACTATATTGATTCAATAACCGAATTTGGTCTTGCACGCCACTGTTCTGCTTGGCAAACTATCTGTTTCGAGAGCAATTGCATAATAGCAAAATAATTTACTTCTACTATGTATGCGTATTTCGAGATTATTGTCTCAGAATTCTGCGTATTGCGGAATTCGAAATGCATAAAAAATTCTACGTGTGATAATTATTTGATAATTATTTATACAAATTAATTTAATACAAAATTGTGAAAAGTACTATTAAATATCTTCAAGTCTTAAAATCCTTCAAAGAAATATATGATTCTATCAATAAAATCCAAATTAAATTTTGCAAACACTTAAATTATTTATTGTAAAATTAGTATTAAACATTTAATTTCTTGACCAATTTTTGATTAAAAATACATTATTCATTTTTCATTCAAGCTCTTGATATTTTCTGGTTACACGAACGCATCAGAGCATAAAAGTGATCGAAGAAGAATTATAAAAGTGTTCTCTCTGTCTTTCTCTCTCTTTGTACATAAAAAACTGTTCAGCTAGGCAGTGTTTGGTCATACATAATCTGCTGTAATTAGAATACGAATATAGTCACAAGTATAGCTAACAAAGAATCGAAGAATTAATCTAGAAAGATTTATCGATGTTTTATCTAATGAGATAAAATCGCGAGCCATGTTGCATAATTGTTGATGTTTACGTTAAATTGTATAATTATAATATAATTATACAATACGTTAAATTGTATAATTATAATATAATTAACATTGTATCAAAAAAGATTTTGTGACGATGACTGGATAAAAACTATTTTATATCGAATTATTTTTATATATAAAATTAATAATATTAAGTTATTTTTATAATAAAATAGATTCTTTGCACTTGTATAATTTTTCATAAATATAAGAAGCAATTTATTTAATTTTTCAGATATATTTAGAAAAATACAGATGATTTCAAAGTTTATGAGTGAAAATACAAAAATATCGAATATTCGATACATTCGAACCTATGAAAAAAAATTCTTTATAAAGAGCATGTTTTCAAAATGGTATTTTTCAACGCTTTAAAACTAATTAGAAGAGATTGCAACACTCGATGTTCGTTAGAAGCCGCAATCGAGTGGATTCGTTAATTTTTAGATAGATTTTAATTATCCACGATATATACAACTGGTGCCGCCGGCGTATTGGCAAGCTGTAATCTATTTGATCAACCGATTCCCTTTGTAAAGCATTTGTAAAGCTCTAAAGCTTCGAGGATGGCAGAAAACGATGGCTAACATGAGAATAAATCTTTGAATTTTCTATTTAAGCAAAAACGCGTTCCCGCAAATTATATTTCGCAAATTGTCTAAACACAAACAGTTTGTTTTCGAAGACCAAGAATTCGGCATTATTTGAAAATCAAATCTATTTTATATTTCAAATACACAACGAGAAATGGGCGTGGACGCTTTGCATGCATCTTCCTTTCAACTACTATTCGCTATTGATGTTTATGCTTATTTTATCACGCTTCTAAAACTTTGACTGCAGAAATTGACAGGTATGACAATTGACTGCGTTAAAAAATTGCAATTTGATAAGATATAAATTAATTTTGAAGTATATGAATGATAAAGGAAAATATTATGAAAATTATTTTGTATTGTATACTGAAAATATCAATGTCGTTAACCATTAAATATTTTATCCTAACAAGCTACCCTCATATAATATGATGCTGAAAAATAAGAAATTTTATCCGCATTTTAGTCATGTAAGCACATATAATACGGTATCATTACATGTTAAAAAAAACTTTATTATTTAATAGAAAAAAATACTAGTATCCTTAATAAAATTTAATGATAAATGATTTTATCCTCATTCAAGAAAAAATATCATATAAGTACATATTATATAAATTATATAGTTATATAAAACTTTTTGTTGAAATTATTTAGATATGCATATACATTTCTAAAAACAATTCTGAAAATATATATTTTGCATATTAATTATTTAATTATACACATGTATAAACATTTTGTTAAATACTTTGTGCAATATTGAAAAATAAAATTTTTTTAACATCTCAAATATTTTCAGTCATATCAATTGTGCACGAAGATATAATTAATCGTTACGGAATCTCACAGTATAGATATAGACTGCGAGTAAAGCCAGATTGCAATTTTACAAGAGCATACTCAAAGTGCCTGCCAAACATTCCTTATGTTGTAAACATCTTGGTTGTGCAAAGTACTCTCTAGACGATTTCATCAAATTCAGTTAAACATCAAACGAAATACAGCAAGTAAAGATAAAAATTGCACATATCCTAAATTAAAGTTTTTAATTAAAATGGAAAAGATAAATGCATCGTACACGATGCCGTTTTAAAATTGACTGCAGATTTACAGAAAATTAAACATGAAATAAAATATAATATACAATAAATATCTTTTATCAATCGTTTTAAAATGTTTGAGGAGAAAGAAAGAAAGGAAGAGAAGAGAGAAAAAGAATTGAAATATGGTAAAAATTTTTTTATAATCGATGTTATCAATGAATAATCTTTATACGAGTTTTCAAACATTTTTAACCAAAAATCGCTTTAAAACCAAAATTTAAATATCAGACGTAATAGATTATTATTATTACTTAATTTTGAATTTGATTAGGCCAAAAATTTATAAAATATATTAAATTTTATTTCAATTTTAAATATATTTTTAGATTTTGATATAAAAAATTGTTTAATATTAATTTTATATACGTATACGTAAATCTGATGAAGTATATTTAAATAGAATTGCTTATAAATTTCAATGCTAACATAGAGATAATCCACATATTGAGGAATATGTAAAGAAAAAAACTCACCGCAGGTTGACGAATCTCGTTGACGATGGAGATGTAGAGGAATAGACTTACGAGGTAGTTCCTAGTGAACCCCATCTTCGGAAGTTGATCAACCTGTCCGTCGCGACGCAAGCTTCCAAATGTGAGTATCGCTTCAGAACATGTTGCCTCTTATATAGGGTGCACTTCAACCGGCGCAGGCGTTCCACCCTCTAGCGTTCTCCTCGCGCCATAGCGCACCCACATACGACGTAGTCGCGCCTATCTGTTTTTTTCCCTTCCTCTCATCGATGATGGGATACGCACAGATCCCACAGCGGATGGTGAAACAGGCCATTCGATGGGTACTTAGCGAGGGAAAAAAAGAAGGGCAAGAGGGCGAGGATGTTTCAGGATTTCAACGCAGCTAATATTGCGTTTATTGCGTGTCGACGAAAAAAAGTATTTAGCTATAATGTTACTCCATTCGAAATAGCGACGTATTTTATTGGAAAGTTTCTGCCTCTTCCCACGCATTTTTATTGTAAATAAATTTATTGTAAAGAAATGTAAAAGAATTAATATTCGTCGTTTATTAAATATAATGGTAGCGAAAATTGCACGATACATTTATGTCATCAGAAATATAGAATCTTGAAAACAATAATACATGATTTCAAGTGCTATTTTCAATGTTAAAGTTTTAATAAAATTTCTCAAGTAAAATAAAAAAAAAATCATTACCATATTATTTATATTATAATTATATAGATTTCAACGAGTCTCAAATATTATTATAAATGAAATTTGATTATATCTTTCTAAAATTGAAAGATTTTATAATTATTATTTATTATTAAATAAAGTAGTAACTATAATCCTATTCGAATGTTGCAATAATTCTAGATATTGCATAAATTAATTTGAGTAATTTTTCTCTGGAAAGGAAACGTACGCTTAGCATTTTGATAATATTGGTTTCTTAAATTTCGTTAAGATTGCATTTATGTCTTTTATAATGTTCATTATTGCTTGAATTGTAATAAAAATGATTTTTCCAGCTACTTAAATTCCATACAATTATCATTCTTTTCAATTGTTTATTTGCTAGATTTATTTTCCTAAAATTTATATAAAATTTATATTATGATATTAATGTATATGTGAGAATCGAAAATAATAATTATAAATAATATCAAATTAAATGTTAAATTAATTGTCTTAATAATATAATACAATTATAAGTATACAGTTATAGAAAGAGAAAGATTACAGAGAGAATTAAAGAAAGAAAAAAAAAGATATATAGTTTTTTTAAGAATAATGTGACTATTATTATAATATTTATTAAGCTAGCTTAATAAATTTTTAAAACAATCTATTCGAAGTAAGTTGCTGTATAAAAATATTCATAACGATAAGAGTTTTTTCCGATATTATCGCATGATATTGGGTGAAATTTAATTAGTCAATCTAAAAATATAAAAATGTGAATAACTATTTCTGTACGTAATTAAAATGCTCGCTAATATAATCTTTAAGTAAAAATATATTTTTATGAGTTTACTCGAGGGGGATAGAATAAAAAATAAAATACGAATAGAAATTCTCATTACACACATCGTCAATCGTGGCGAATCATGGGACTTGCAATAAGAACCGAGATATCATATAGTCTTGTGACGTCCGTGGGATCGTATTTTGATACAGTCTTTTGGGAATCTAGAATTTCCGCTATAATTAACCATGTATATTTGTCACTGTGAATATTGTAAGATCGATATTCCGAATGCGAAGTAAACAGGAAGCAAATAGTAAGCGCAATCACCTTTCTTTCTCGATACGATTCTAAAAATAGAGTAAAATTGTACAATTTGAAAAATTACGTTGCCGTAGAATCAATATATGTATAGAATACGAAATTTTACGACAACAAAGAATTATGTTTTACATAATATATGTAAAAAATTGGTACGATAACATTATTAAATTATAAAAACCTGTATGCATTAAATAATAAAATAAAATATTATTAATTAAATAATAAAATATTTGAATTTATAATATTAAATATATATTGAAAACCTATAAATTGTATTTATTTCACAAAGTAATTTGTATGTTTCCGTGCACTTTTTTTTTTTATTTTTCTCTTATAATTTATTTACATTAAAAAATTTATTTGCTTATATTAAAATATAATTTATTTATATTAAAAAAAGTATTTAAGTATATTGAAAGAAAATCTCATAAATAGAAAGCGTAAAATAAACTACGAAATCATATTGCCGAGAGAATATACTACTGATAAATATAGGAAAGCAAACTTGCCCTATATATTTTCATTCCATTCATTATTTTTTGGTTCTGTAATAAAACTTAGATTGAATAACTAAGCGATGATTAATATCTGTATAATGAGTATACTGAAGAAACAAATTAAAAAAAATATTTTAAACAGGTGCTACAAAGACAAAATGAGCAAAGTTAACTTTTTCTTTATAATTCGTATAAAATATCATTTTATTACTATAGTAGACATTTACACTTTCTACGTATGCATAAAATTCTCAGTGATCTATCATAAGAAAAATCGAAAAAGGTACAAGATATTCATTGTTGCTCTTTATATTATCTATATGATTATATAATGAATAATTAGATTTGCATATATCAATCACAGGCATAATTAAAACTACAAGATACTTTATTTTCGTTCGAGAGAATTAATCAATATAATTTCGCTTCATCGAATGCATATTCTTGCAAATGTAAATTATTATAATTTGCCAATTTTCATACTTTAATTTTTTAGTTTCTTTCGTAAAAGTAATTATATTGGTACAGATATATTAGGTATAATAAAGATGATACATAAAAAGCGTATTAATTGGTGAATATATTGATCATCCATCAATATGCCAGTGATATACATACACACATGTAGATATATTTACAATAATACATAGTTAGATTAAAAACTGATTAGCTGATCGCCTAATCATTTAAGTTCGTAAGTGTACGGTGCGAGTGTTACGTGTAACTCGACTCCAAAAAGGCATTATTTATTATTTAGTATTATTATTATTGTTATTAATAGTATTACGATACAAAAAATTATAAATAAATTTATTCGATCCGCTAAAACAATTGTATGCTGAGAAGGTATTACACTAGATTATACGAATCTCAAATCGCTATCTAATGCAAACGTAAACATATATGTGTTAATTAATGTTGCAATGTCGAAATATCTTAATCATCAAAAAATGTTATAGAGATGTTTTTCTTATCTCATATTTGATTCTGAAAAAAATTCTCATTAATTATAAGATTGCCTCCTTTGTTTTCATCTCTTCTCTCTGAAATATCTGTATCATATAAAAAACAAAGGAAATGTTTAGGATGGTCACGATGCACAGTCTGTAAATTTATATGCAGTACATATTCCATAAATAAAAAAATTTGTTGAAGAAATAAATAATTATTGTTAAATGTTTGCATTTGGCGTTTCATATAATACTTAGTTCTAAAAATTACAATTATTATATTCGCTCGGGAACATAAATGTATATAACATCTTACTGCCATTACTAACTGTACGAAATAATTGTGAAAAAAGAATTTTGAAGGTCGATTAATTTCTAAGCACCAAGACTGCAAAAATTTAAAATCGTTTATATAATAGGGTGTCCCATTTTAAAGTTTCCACTAGAATATCTCTTCAGGAAAGCATTTTAAGGAAAAATGTTTCAGACAAAAATTTCTTAATTTTACATAAACCATAAAATAGTAAAATATAGTAAAATATTTATTTTTACGGTTTAAAACTAATAGATTTTAAAAAGTTCTCAAGATAAGCTACAAGAATGAAAAATAGGGAGTTTTATTTAGGAACACAAAGTTGAATTCCATATAACCTTGGTTCCATTCAAGATTAAACGGATATGATTCAATCGAATTTTCGAAACCCTACAACTTTTGTCTAAAATATTTTTTTCGTTAAATGCTTTCCTGAATATATTCTAGTGGAAATTTTAAAATGGGACATTCTGTATATAAATTCAAACTCGAAAATGAAAAAAATTTTTAAATTCTATGGTCCATTCTTTTTTTTTGTATTAACTTTAACATATTTTAAATAGATCTCTAACTAAAATAGCGAGAAATTTTCTTTCAATATGCAAATATATACAAGTTATACTGAAATATGGCGTAATTGACTGAAAAATATTTTTATCCTTCGCAATACCAACGAAGATATATTTTGTGCTTACCATTTGTTTTCTTATAATATTTTTATTTTTGTATGATTTAAACTTTTGAAAGATACACCAGTAAAATTATTTTTTAGAGAAGAAAATGAAGAATATAAATTATATGGACAAAAGAGAGATACATTTTATAAGTGGAAAATTTACAAATCTTTAAACATATATTATAAATAATATAATATAAATCAAAGAAATAATTTGAGATCAATAAGGAACACTTTTAGTGATGACAATTAACATGCTTCGAATTAATTTGAATATATATATATATATATATATATATATATATATATATATAAAATATATCATAAAAAATTCAATTTAAATTAATTCAAATATCATTTGAAATTATACAATCTTCAAAATTTTCATTAGTCTTAAAAATTGTCTCAAGATTTTGAAAAATTTTGAATATAAATTATTATGTAGAAACAAAATTTTTATCGATACATAAAAGATCGAAATAATGAATTATTTCAGACCAATTAAAATTTTCAAAATCTATCAAGAGTTTCAAAATTGTATAAATTCAAATATTTGAAATATTTTTAAATAGAGTAATGACTTAACTGATTGAAAATTTGCAAGAGATGTTAATGCATTATTAGATACATCTATGGAAAAATAGTAGATAATAATTTGCATGAAATATAAATAAAAAAAAGATAAAATTATAAGTGAGAGAAAAAGAGAAAGAGGAAAAGGATTAAATAACTATAAAAAAAAAAAATAAAAAAAACGTAGATTATCTTTTTTGTTAATTTATGTTTAAGAAAGAGTTTTCTTTTGAGAAAACATTCGCGCGTTATTTCTCTTCTACATTATTAATTATTTTATCAAACAAATGTTTTGTTTGAAAAATATAAAATATTTCTATTGCATATACGGCAAAATACGGTCTGGTATTGCGAGGATTAATATAAATTCTAACGCATAAATGTTTTATAATTATAACAAATCATATCATTTAATGAACTTGATGAATACTTACAAATAAATCGATTAAAATATCAATGGTAGCAACTATACAACAAGATAGTGGACAAGCTATCATTAATTATGTGCGTGATGCAAATGAAAACGTTGAAAACTTAACTGTCATAATTAAAGTCAAATTATGAACTTTGAAATGAAATAAATGAAGAAATAAGTGTAAGAATAGCTAGTTTCTAGATATATATGACGCGTCAATATTTCTGCAAACATCAGTCGTAGTATTTCATGATCCTGAACCTAGAACTCCAAATCCAGTCTATTTATTTTCGTTTTTTATCATGACTTTATTTGTCATAGCTTCGTGATACGCGTTTAACAGTTCTTGTGCAGTCAATTTAGAGCACACGCTTTTAAAAATATTAAGCAAACACTCTTTGGATGTATCATCATTCTCGATATGCGCGATCGTAAACTGAGATGTCCACAGTTTGTCTAACACGCGTCTAGCCAAAACAGGAGATTGTTTTAACGCTTGCGCTATATCTCCCGAGCTATTATTCTGTAAAGCTATATCCAGAACTACCTGTGCCGGAATAAGCTCCTCGTTTGCTACAGTATGACTAATGATCACGTCCATCGGTAATCTTTGTAGCATAGCGTCCAAACTAGATAATTCAGTCATGGGTTGCTTAATACCGTCTTGTTCTTCTTGTTTTAATTTTTCCGAAAGCATCTCAATGAGTTCAGATGATGTGATTTTTTGGCAAACCACATTTTTTAACTGATTAAAATCGAAAGTGTTCACAAAATCAGTTACATTAAGCTTCTTGCTATATACCTTAAGCACCTTATCAAAAAACTGTTTATCGTAACTGAAGATGTCGGGTAATCTAAGAAGGACTTTGTTGACGCCACATGCACGACAGGCAGCTTTTAACGATGCATCGTTAACTTGCTGTTTATTTTGCAAACCAAGCATTCTAATAGTTTCCTTCACCAACTCTGTTTCTTTCAAATGTGCCATCTTTACCTGAAGATTAATTTTTTACTCATTTATCTGATAACACTGATGTGATATAATCGATATAAATTTAATAAAATTTACCTTGTATTGTAAAAGAATTGCCTCAGGACTACATCTTCTTACCGCGCTTTCCAATACCAGATTTACATCAATTTCATCTAATAATTCCTCAAGCGCCATCTGAGATTCAACGGATCTTGTTACTTTTTGAACACTCGGCGTCGCGGAACCAATTTCCTCAGTACTAGTACCAACTGAGGAGTGCGTGATGAGAAGTTCTTCGTATACATTTGAAGATTTAGCACGACTTTTTGATGTGTCCGTGCTACTTGAAGGTAATACTATTTCATTTACAGCGCTAAAAAATATTTTTAAAAAATTATATAAACTTTATGAATATATATATATATATATATATATATATATATATATATAATTATATATTTTATATTTTAAATAACATATAGAAAATTACGTACATGCTTTCGGAGGATGAAACAATTGGCACGGATTTAACATTATCCATAGATGTTCTAGACGAACTTTCAACAGCGATTGGTTCTTTCGCATCTATCTGCTCGTTTTTTAATATTGACAAGTCGGAATTTTGAGAATATATGTGCTCCAATGAAATATCCATGTCACTGGTGATAGATTCTGTTTTATCCAAGGACTCTGTAGGTGACTTTTCTCTTGACAGATTATTGGAAACAGCTTCGGTAGGTCGATTAAATGGCGCGCTACAACTTGAGGATTTATTGTCAACTGTCGCAGGTTCCGCTTCGGCAACAGCTAGTGGAGGAGCGCTAATTGGTACAATTGGTGTTTTGTTCATCGCTACGATAGGCGATTGTACCTTAGCATTCGATTCCCTATCAGAGGATTCTGCTTGCAGCATGCATGTACTTTCAAAATGTTCCAACACTTTCTTCACAAATTCAGTCTTTGGTTTACCTTTCACGGGTAATCTGTTTATTTCGCGTTCCGATAATTGAGCAAGATCACCGATCGTGCGCAAACTTCTATTCGCGAGATGTGTAGACAAGTTCTTTTTCCAAAGAGGATAAGTCAATCGTTCAACAATAGTATCGATTGGTTCCGCACACGATGACAATGTTGGATAAATAGGCAGCGTAGAATTCAAAAGTTCGGGATCAGGTTCCACATTATTCTGAGCCTCCTGGCTTTGAGTAGATTCTTGAGTTAACGGTAAACTCGCAAATAAGGAATCCGTTACCGGTAAAGTATCTTGATCCATTAAGTTTTCCGTTGTCTCTGTACTAGTACGTATCAGCTTTCCACAGAATACCTCATCTGTATTGACAGTGGAATTCAATTCGGTAATATTTTGGATATCTACAGTATCCTCCATGCTTGTTGTATTGTCATCTTTGGTAGATAAAGCCGCTATCACAGAATCATTGATCAGGTTCAGTTTAATAGAATTTACCGAATTATTTTGTACGGATGTATTAATGTCATCGTTACTCATCTTTGTTGGTACAATATTATTTATCGTGTCCGTTCCGTCAAAGATATCTCGTTGCGTTTCGGAATCTTCGATTCCGACGCAGTCCATTGATGCAGTGTCAGTTGGATTTTGCTCGGAATCTTCTGAAGATGAAGTCTGTTGATTCTCCGGAACAGAAGGAGCAAAAGAGTCCGCAGTTATTTCAATTTCCTGCGCTATTCCTAATTCTTCGTCGATCTTAATTCTCGCATGGGCAGTTACCTCAACGTTATCATTTTCTGCAAAATCGTCAGATACTGATTTATCTATATTCATAGCTTCAGAATCTGCTTCAGATATCTTTGTTAATGATTCATTTTTCTTCTCGGCTTCGAAAACAGTTTCAGAGTCACTTTCATTTTGAGAATCGTTCTCAATTATTACTTTTTCTACGTCTATTGGTACAAATTTAAGCTTAGTCTGTTTGAGCTTAAGTGGAGAATCCTTTCTTGGCATAGGACTACGTGCTGTGGGACATTTGTTAGTTTTTTGTGAAAATTCTGTATTTGATATTTCATAACCCATCTCTTTTGATACCGGTGGATCTGCAAAGCTTACTCGCTTTCGCTATAATAAAAACATTTTTAAATATATTTATAAATATAAACATTTAAATATATTTATTAATTTATATATATGAGAAAAAATTTAGACAGAAATACTAAAACATGAGAAACAATATACAATATGTAACACAGATTTTTTTATTATAATAACACAAAAAATAATTGTTAATTTTGTTAGATATATCTCTGTATATTTTTAAAACATTATATATGTAGATATAATATAAACTAAATTGCAAAAAATATACCTTGTTAGGAGTTGAAGAATCTAAATCTGGTTCTGGTATGCTCGATCGTTGACGTTTAAGAATACTTGCACTCGGCGATGCCGTTAATGAAGGTGGATTAGCGCTTGACCATTCCAATATTGGTAGATCGTCTTTTTCGCATGAAAATGATGTACCTCCTACATTTTCTTTATCGATTGAAATTTCTATTGATGAGTAGTCTGATATATTCTTGTCCAGTTTAAATGAAAGTTTCTCGCCATCATTTTTCAAAGTAGTAAATGATGGAGATGCACAATAATCGGCCGATCTCATATTGCTGAAAATCTTTTCTTGTCGACTGCCAGAAGGTCCGTTTATTTTATCAATCTCTTTAATTGCTATAGCCTTTTTACTCGTATCATTTTCTGCGTCCTTGGTTTTTAATTTTTTTATAGATGATTCATCTTCTAGTGCAATAGTTGGATTGTCACCTTCGAGTTGCGCTTGCTTTGTAACTAAACCTAGCATATGAGCAGCACGACCTGTGAATGGTTTAAGTTTACATAACACTTTGATACTACTTTTCGGCGAAGAAAAACTAGTTATACTTGTAGATTTGCTCGATGACGAATTTTCGATTGTCTTCTGACCTTCTGAAATTATAATTTTTAAATTGGAACTATTAGTTTCCTGAATCGTATCTTTATTTGTACTATCTTTATCTTTATTTTCATCATTCAATTCTGTATTATTAAGATTAGCTTCATCTGATTGTTTACATGGATCAGGTACATTATCGTCACAATCCATGGGGATAGATTCAGGTACATAATTTTTTTCGATAATCGCATCAGAAGCTTTAATAAGAGGAATATTCTCTATTTTATTAATTTTAATGAAACATTGTTTCTCGCCACATATTTTATCTAATTTTACATCGATATTAGGAATTTGTGAACTTTCTACAAAACTTTCTACTTCTTCAATTTCATCTTCACTTTGCTTGCTCGATTCTGAAGACTCTACATTCAAACTGGTAAATTTAGAATTATCTGTTTCAGATGTTTCATCTTTACTAATTGTAACGTCTTGTATAACTTGACTGGATGTTGAAACTTCATCTGTCATATCTGTGTCTGAATTTTTCCATTCAGGCATCTTGTCAATAGTATCAGTTACTTGCACCTTGTCAATAGTATTAGTTATGGTGGATTTTTTAACATCTTTATTAATGTCTAAATCACTCTTATTAGGCTCCTGTCTTATACTTCTTCTACCTCGTCTTTTAAATATTCCTGGATCTGTATCATCTGCATCTTTTGTATTTCTTTCCTGTGTTTTTGAAAATCTTTTTGATCCTTCTACAAACCTTCCATCTAGGGATTTCTGTTTAAAATTCTTATTATCAAGTGTTCCATATTTCCTTAATCCATGTTTCTTTCCTGCATCAATTTCCTGTATAAATGTTTCTTTTTCTCCTTCATCCAAATGTTTAACTCGACGACGATTGACCACAGGACAATCAAATACCATGTCAATTTTTAAACGAGATATTTCATTTTTTACACGTTGACTCACATTCTCCATATCTATGTCCAAAGAGTCACTGCTTCGTGATGTTTCACCAGTGTCATCATTAAAACTTTTTCGCTTTCGACGTTGTATCCCATCCGATTCAGTATCCGATGTATATTTACGCTTAATACCTTTCTTATTTTCATTATAACTTTCTTTAATATCAATATCGTCGTCTGACTTTTGTTTACTATTTGTACCAGGTTTTTCCTGAGAAATTTTCATTCTCAACGTTCTTTGTATATTTGTTGCACTTGAATCTTTTTGACTCTCTACAACTTCGTCACTTTTTAACGATGAATTTAATTTTATGCTATTACGATGTCGTCGTTTGATACTATCTAACATCGAAGGAGATGATTGTCGTTCTTGTATTTTATTTTCAGAAAATTCCTCTCGTGATTCAAAATTTAATTTTTTTACTATTGTAGTTGTAGCATCTATTTTTTCGTTTATTTCTGCAGTATTTTGTTCACTGATAGATGCTGTATGTGCCGAGTTTGTTTGCTTCGATATATCTATTTCATTTTCTTCTTGTTTTTCATTAGAATTCATTTTCTCAACTGTATTTATTAAATCTTCATTTTGCTTAGTATCAGCGATATTTTCTTCAATATTTACATCCAATTCGCTACTGATGTGACTATCAACTACTTTATCCACCCAATTAGCCGACTTTGTTTGCATAATTTTATTTTCCTTGTTGGCGTCATTATCGATAAGTTTTTGAGTTATAGAGTCACTCTTTCTATTACTGATTTTATCTGTTTCATTAATATGTTTGACTTTAATATCAAACCATTCTTGCAAATTTTGAGAATTTTGTGAGGATGATTGAGAAAGATCATTATACAATGCTGGTATATCTTCTCTCTTTTTCTTTAAACTTTCTTTTTGATGCTCAGTCAAACGATTTACATCAAATTTCAAATCTGTTTTTATATACACATAATCCTACAAATAAATTTAAGAATATAGACAAAGATATAAAAATAAAAATGTGTGTACATGAAATAACAAATATTATTTACTTGCGAATCAGGTTCAGGTAATATAAGCGTATATTTATCAGTTTTTTCTGCTGCCTTACTGGATACTGATTTTGTATTAGTAGATTTCCTATTCAAGAAACTTCCAGCTATATGTATCTCTTTTGTTTGTTCTGTTTCTGCTTTCTTTTTTGTAACACTATCAGATTTGGGATAAGATTTTTCGATTGCTTCTTCTATTTCATCTACAATGCACTTAGCGTTACTGTCCAAGCAATCTTTAACTTCAAAAATAGATTGTGTTAAAGATCTTAAATCTGGATTAGAATGATTCATTGCAATTATAATCGTTTCTTTGAACGAAGATAAAAGTTCGTAATCCAATTGTTTATTAAGTCCTTTAAAAATTTTAATTACACAATCCCACATGCTTGCAACCTATAAACAAAGTTTATTAATATAAAGAAACCAGACAGTTATAGCTGGATAACAATGCAAATCAAAATAATTACTTTATAAAAATTAATATTGATATCATACCTCTTTAAAAAGTGTCTTTATTTGCGATGTAAGTATAAGTTTGATCACTGATTTACAATTATGCAGATATGATATTACTTTTTGTGGATTGTGTCCATATACAGTAGTAAGGATAGCTGATAACATTTTCAGAGCTATTTCAGAATTAAGATTTTGTACATTATTAAATGAAGTTATTACAACATCTAATATGAGTTGTACAATGGATGGGAATTCATCTTCAGCTGAAATATGAATTATGAGTATAAGGTACAATATTTTAAGCATTATTTTATGTAAAATATAAGGATTAACTATACACCTACCTAACAATGATTCAAAATCGAGAGCGCTCAATAAAGTATCTAAGCAATTTACAATAAAAAAACAACAATTTTTATTTGTATTTAAACATTCTCGCATCATGTTTGCAATATTCAATAAGATTTCATTTGGCTTTGTTGCACTAGTTGAATCTGATTGTAACTCAAATTGTTTATATAAAACTTTCCATATTTTTGCATAATCTTTCATCTGCAAAATTAATATATAAACATGAGCTATTGTAAAATAAACATATATGTAATAAACAAAAATGTTTACAAAATGTTTATTAAAATTATATATGAACCTGTTCAAGATTTTCCAGAAATGAATATTGAAATGGGAGTGATAAGATCAATTTGACAATTTTGAAATTATATTCATTATTTTCATTAGCAATTTCACAGTTTGACATATATTTTGTTAAGTTCTGTGCTATTATAGACCATAATTCGATGTAAACTTTCCTGTAATATATCATTTGTTATCAAGCTGCAAATATTACAAATATTACAAATATGTTATTAACTTTTAGACTCACATATTTTTATGTGTACTAATCATTAATTTCAAATTTTCCATTATTGTTTCCAGAAATCCAAGCACACCTGAGGAATATGTAAGTTCTGGGCTAAAACACCGCTCCAGAAGGCACTTGAATGCATAGTTAATACGATCCCTATAATATAGAAATAGATTATATAAATAAGATACTTATAAAATATGGATATGATTTCAACAAATTTAATTTATACATACAAACTATAATTTGGCATTTCATTAAGTATTGGCGGTGATAAAAGTTTTAATACAAATTCTGGCAATGCGTTATCACGAAAACCAGTGTCCTCAACAAGGTATACGATATCCAGCAAAATTACATTGAAAATCATATCTTTTACCATAATTTTATCTACATGATTTCCCAATTCTGTTACGACTAGTATTACATCTTTGTACAGATGGTCCTGTAAGAGTATATAACATTTATTATAATACGTAGATATTTTGTTATACAAAATAAAAAAAATTTAATATTCATTAGTAACCTTTGTTCCAAGTTTTATATTTTTTATATATGTCATCAAATTTGCCCACAATATTTTACCAAGCTGGAAACGATTTTTCATTTCTTGATCTGTAAGTTGACCAAGAATGAGTAGAGCTTCTCCTACACTGTGAATAATGCTTTTAGAACATTCTTGAAACACCTCATCAGATATAGCATGAGGAAGTCTTTCTTCTAACATTGGAGCACAAACTGCAATGAGATCTTCCTTTGTGACAACTAATTGACACAAGGCATCCACAGCAACTACTTTTGTCTTAAAAAATCTTTTGCCTGGAGAGGCAACAACATCAAATTTAGAGGAAAGCAGTGGTGTATCTCCAAGTGGTCCAAAACAATAGTTTAGAAATTGTGTGATAACAGGAGTAGCAAATTTTGCAATATCTTTATACAATTTAATAATTAAGTGCCACCAAACTTCTAATTTTGTTAATGCGATTAATTCAGTTTTACTGTTCTTAGTATTTAATGGAATACAAAGTAGTTTTATTCTCCTAGGAGTAGCAAGTTCTTGGTGATCTAAAGCAAAATTGTCAATCAACAATTTCCATGAGAGGAAAGCTTGTCTGCAATATAATAACAAATCTATATTAGTTTTTTATATAATAATAATCAATTTTTAATTGCAGAACTATAGTTTCAGTAGTACCTGCGTATAATAGGATCAGTAGATTTGAAGGCTTTTTCTTCAACACTCAACAAATTATTTATGAGAGTAGCACCACGATGAAGATCAGTAGCAAGAAACTGGATAGTAGTATTCCATTGAATAGTCCAATCTGGATCACATGCTGCTACTAACAGCAACATACGTTTACAATATGTGGATTGTAAATTGGTCTTATATTGTGTCCATAGATTAGGGTAATCTTTACGAATACGTGATGACGAGTTAGTTGCAACAGCTTGCTGTAAAACTTTCAAAGCAGGACCACGCTGCCGCTTATGTCCCATATAGGCCAGTATTATAATCTTATCCATCAGTAATGTATCAAACTAAAAAAGAAATATATAATTCCTTTCTGATTGTAATTTTAAAAATTATATATAATACAATTGTGTATATGCGTTTACCCTCTGAACATTTTGATCAAACGTTATGGCAGCCAATCTGTACAACCTTCTCAAAAGAATAAGTGCATAACTATTTGTATCTTCATCTAATTTTTGTTCATCTGATAAGGGTTGATGCTCAACTTTTGTCAACATTTGCAAATTATCCACACATGCTGTTGGCATCAACCATTCCATTAAATTAGGTTGCACATTATCCATACAATCCTTAAAAAAATTTAAAGCCTGTCCATCATTGGCAGCTGCAGAAATAGCATTGTCTTCCACTACTTCCAGTAGCTTAAGGATTTTTAATCTAAGGTCAATCAAGAATATGTCGCATTTTATTAAAATCTCTAATATATGAATTTATATAAATATAAATTAATATAATATAAATTTAACAAGACAAACCTTGTCCTCTTATCTGTCTGTAACATTGATTCGAAAAGATGTAAAGAATGAGTTTTGAATTCTTTTACAATGGCATTAAGCGCACCTAATGCTTCGTTCTGCATACTCCCTTCATGTCTTGTAAATGCTTCTATAACCAGTCTGCACAATTCCTTGTAACGATCTTCTTTGAGAGTACCACTTGATTCTAATTTTTTAGCTTGACTGTAATACAATGTTAATAATTAAATTCTTTCTTTACAAACTCTTACTGTCAAAAGGAATGTTTTAACAAATACATCTTTATTAAATAATACTATATATTAATAGTACTATATAATAAATAATGTATCTCTATATATAAATATTTCTTATATGTATTTCTAGATGTAATTCTATTGTTTTATTTATATAATTTTATATTGAATCCCTATTCAATCTTATCTAAACAAATTTAATATAACACTAATAGCATTTATATCATGTGTTAATTATAGATCTTAAATTATAAATTTTCATTTGACATTTGATATATAAACACACATATATGTATGTGCGTATGCAATCTATAAATATATAATTCAAGCTGCAATATAATTAATTTTAACTTCAAACAATTATACTGCTAATGAATTATTTTTTTCTACATGTTACGTGCTTTTTTATCATTTTTCCCCTCTTTTTAAATCTCGAGTTTTATTATGAAGAGACTTAATATCTAATGACAATTCTGATGACGTTAAAATAATTTCTCTTACGAGGGGTCTTCTAATTCCATCTGCTTCGTGAAATCAAATAAAAGCGTTCGCATTAAATACTAACAATATCTCGCCTCTCTCATCTCTGTCACGATGAGCGAGGGATTTCGCGAGACTGGACTTGTGACAGTTTACCTGGAGATGTAAGTTAAAACCTCGCGCTTTTCCTTCACATTGTTGTTTTCCCGTAATATCTTCAGCACCCTCGGGAAGGTCGTACTCGTGATTGTGGCCATCTCGTCGCGTCTTGTTCCTTTCTCCCTTTCTTTCTTGCCTCGCGACGATTACCGATCACCGTTCATCTCGTTCGCCTCGTGCGCGAACCAGTACGACTCTTCTTCCAGTTCTTCCTCTCCTCTAATCCTTTCAAACGTGCGAAGAAAAGAGCTTCCTCAGTATTGGAGAAACTTTCGCGCCCGGGATGAATATGTCCGACACACGATCGACGAAGCTCACCACCGTTCTCTTCCACGAGAGAGAGAGAGCGAGAGGGAGAAAGAGAGAGAGGGAGAGAAGCTCGCGAATCCTCTTCCGCGTCGCAGATCGTGCAAATGGCGCAATCCGTTCGGACAATGTTTTGCGCTTAGTCTTCCTCTGATTTACGCAAGTTTCACAAACACAAACGTGTCGCGTCTCCTCCCATTCCCGGCTCTTGTTTTCCTTCCGCAATTTTTCGCCGACAACAAACAGAAGCGAGCTCGTTTGTTTTGCCGCACGCTCCAGCCTTCAGCTTCGCGTGCCAGCCGGAATTTACAAAGGCGCTCGTGTCCGTGTTTCTACTTGTGCACAACTCCTCCTTCGGCCAGTTCTCATTTTAGCGGGAAGAAGCGAGAGGCGATAAGCTCGAGATCCATGTAACTGTTGCAACCTGTCATTCGATACGTGAATTTCAATAGCCACATAAAAATGGACACGTGGAAATCAGCTGCCAACTGTCTGGTTCTTTGCATCTCTATCTTGATCGAATTATTGGCAAAATAGTTGTTTTATTTTTACTTTAATATCCTTCTTCTCCTTCCTTCATTATGCAATTTTAATTTCAATATTCCTCTAAAATGACTGAGTATCTGGAAAATTATCAAAGTTAATTCCTTTGCGCATAAATTATGTATTCAATTTGTCTCTCTAATCTTTTTTATCTCAATCGTTTCTGTAAAATGTAAAACATTATAATGGATGATATATGTTGTATTTAATTATATATTATGTAATTATATTATATAATTATCTATTATATTTTATATTAATTATATATTATATAATTATATATTATATTTAATTATTGATTCTATACTGAATTACTTGCATCAATAATATTGTTACTTGTTATATCTGACATTTGTCTGTGACTTGAAATTGAAAAAAAATACAGAAAAATTATATTCACTTAAATTCTTTTTCCTTTTACGTAAACTCATCATATACATCCTTGTTGAAGACTTCAATGAGAAATCTTGTGTTTCACAGTCACAATTGCTCAATTTCTAAGAAAATAACTCATCAGATCACATATGGAAATATTTTGAAACGTGGTATATGCAAAATTCGCAATAACATGATAGCAATTCATAATCATTTCAAAATTCCAGTCGTTGGATCGAATAGGTTTGGCTGACCAATCAGGACGAGAGGAGCACAGATTTCTTCCTTCTGATTGGTCAATCAAATCTTCTTAAAGTGCAATTTCATTGACGCTAGAAACCAGCGGCAAATTAAAATCACTAGACTTTCTCTAGATATGGCGTCAATAAAATAAAGTTCAAACAGTTTCAACTTTTTCAGTGTGTAAAGCGGCCTTTTCATTGACGCTACTTTTTAGAAATTGCACCTTAACAGTTGGCAGCCCTACGAGATAGGCTGTGCACTGCGCGTATATAAAATAAATTTGAAATCGCTTCTAGCCTAACCATCTTCACGCGATCGACTTTATTTGAATTGCACGGCATCGCATCGAATTATGATGCGGCGCCGATTTGTTCGAACGTAATTCGGGACATCGCGATGCTGTATAAGCGTCGAATGAGCACGAATTGTCACGTAAATATGATAAATCACATCTACTCACCGTTCACCGGCTGTTCCACAGACCGCTCCTCCTCGGGACAGTTCGCTCGCCTCGGGACGTCCCATTCCGATCTTGATGCACACAAACTCACACGATATCATCAACGCGAACGCGCGACACTTTATTCGGCACTCCCGATACTCGCTCGCATCCGATAATCATCATCAAGGGTGCGAATAATGCGACGCAACTTCGCTCCATCTTCGCGATGACGCCATCACTGAATATCGTCAAAAATCGCTGTCGCGCGTTTCCATCGATACATTATGAAAGTCGCGCGATCATCCTTGGACACTCTCGACGCTCGTTCACTCGCGATATTCGTTTAAAAACGGTTAAAAGATGCGAAAAATGCGGACGTACGACGATCCGTGTAACTGCGTATGACTCCGATTCACGTATGACGCGTATGACGTAGCAGTGACGTAGCAGTCACGCGCCAACATGGCGGCCGAACCAGTGCGCAGAAAAAGAATGCGCACTGGTTCGGCCGCCATGTTGGCGCGTGACTGCTACGTCACTGCTACGTCATACGCGTCATACGGCCGCCATGTTGGCGCGTGAATCGGAGTCATACGCAGTTACACGGATCGTCGTACGTCCGCATTTTTCGCATCTTTTAACCGTTTTTAAACGAATATCGCGAGTGAAAGAGTATCGAAAGTGTCCAAGGATGATCGCGCGACTTTCATAATATGTCGGTGAAAGTGCGCGACAGCTATTTTTCACAGTTCAGTGATAGCGCGATCGCGAAGATGGAGCGAAGTCGCGTCGCGTTATTTGCGCCCTTGATGATGATTATCGGATGCGAGCGAATATCGGGAGTGCCGAATAAAGAATCGCGCGTTCGCGTTGATGATATCGTGTGCATCAAGATTGGAATGGGACGTCCCGAGGCGAGCGAGTGGAGCGGCCTGTGGAACAGCCGGTGAACGGTGAGTAGATGTGATTTATCATATTTGCGTGACAATTCGTGCTCATTCGACGCTTATACAGCATCGCGATGTCCCGAATTACGTTCGAACAAATCGGCGCCGCATCATAATTCGATGCGATGCCGTGCAATTCAAATAAAGTCGATCGCGTGAAGATGGTTAGGCTAGAAGCGATTTCAAATTTATTTTATATACGCGCAGTGCACAGCCTATCTCGTAGGGCTGCCAACTGTTAAGGTGCAATTTCATTGACGCTAAAAAGTAGTGTCAATGAAATTGCACCTTTACGCTCTGAAGCAATCTTGTTGTTGGATGACAATCTGTCGATTGGCGAGACTGATTTCACTACTTTGAGCTGGCCAATGGGGATCGTCGCTTGTCGCTACTCGACGTTCAACGTCGTAACTATCAATTTGAAGCGACTTTCAGTTATATTGCCGTTGTAGATTGGAGAAGTACGTGAGAATTTGTAGAGTTGAATCGTCGCGGAATGTCGGATTTCAAGCAACAGTACAAGAATCCGCGTCCAGGTTTTGGCCACGCGGGTCACGGTAGAGTTCTACGCGCTTCTAAGCACGTGGAATCTCGCAGAGAGGTCAGGACACGAGCCTTCGATAAGAACCGCAAATTGCAAGATGTCTCGATTTCTGCCAGCCCGCGTAAGTTGACGAATTTTTAATTGTTTAACGAGACACGATATGCTTCTTTTATGACAATGAGATTACTGATAATTAGAGCTAACTCCTATTAGAGCTCCTCTTGAAGCAGCCTTGCATATTGTTTATCATTTGTCTCCATTTATGTGATATTTTTTATCATTAAAATATTTATCGTTTTTTACTTTTTATTTTGTGCTGAGAATCATTGATGGGGTTGGTATTTGAATGTTAAATGTAAATAAGATGAACATAAGTACAGCCATGTATTTGATATAATTTTGAATAAATTTTGATAGCCTTTATAAATTTCAAATATGCTAATAATATTAAGTCCGTTGCTGTACAGATGTGTTGGAACGTGCTACAAACATGTCCTTTGGACGTTAATTTTGAGTTTCTTCTCTTTTTAAGAGAATTTTAAAATAAAGAATAAAATTTAACATCAAGAGTAAAGGATTAAATAGGATTCGAAGAAGAGAGAAAAGAGATCAAAACGTTCTAAAAGCATTTAAATACTATATATATTAAAAAAAGTGCTAATAGAATATTATTCAATATTATTTAATATTTAATAATATTCTATTAGCACTTTTTGTAAGAAAATATAATGCCAATATATACATAAATATATGTAAATAAATATTTTATATGCCTATATATGTATGTAATAGAAGTAATTGCTTTTTTATAAAGACTAACTTTTTATAAAAGTATCTAAAAATCAAACAAATTTTGTCAATATATTTTATTAATAGAAATAAAAAAAAATATTATACATATATTGATTCAAAAATATTTTGCACATACATTGCATTTAAAAGAAAAAAATTGTTTAATTTTTTATTTCAAAATGATTTATTCTGACAAGTGTCAAATTATTATTTTTATGAATTATTTTCATAAATTGATTTTTATATAACATACTTTTAGTTTTACAATTTCTTAAAATAAATATTGAATTGGAAAGAAACATAAAAAGAAACATTAGATGAACATTGCTAATTTATTTTTATATTTATTTTGTATATGAACAATAAATTTGTTATTATCTTAATATTTAATATTTATATAACATTTTAATGAAATTTTTGAATCAATGTTTATACATATATCTTTTTCTTCTTTATATTTATAAGACATATTAACAATATTGTTATTTGTTTAATTTTGAGATAATTTGTATACATGTGAACTAATATTCTTCCTTTTTTTTAATTTTTTATATTCATGCTAATTTATGTTAAATTGATCAATCAATATAATAGAATTTATGATTTTTAGTGGAGGATACGTCTATTAAAGATGCACGTATGAAAAAACTGTTAAAGTGGAGAGAAGAACGCAAGAGGAAGAAAAAGATGGAAGATGCTAGGAAAAAACCTGCATTTAAAGTTGGTGTTGTACACCATTCTGTGTATTCTCCTGTGACTCGAAGCGCTGCAACTACAGTAACAAATACAACTGTGGGTGCGAAAGCATCTAAGCAAACAACACAATCAAGTAATAATTTTCCGAAAGGAATTACAAAAGTTACACAAAAACGATTGTTATCTAAAGCAACATCTAAACAACAGATTGTTACAAAGAATATAGCTTCAACTTCAACTAAATATCCTTCAATGAATATGAAAAAACTAACATCTAATAATAAAAAACAGAAATCCTTTGCCCCGGATAATTGTGAATTTAAACCTCCTAACGGATTACTTAAAATGCCTTTATTTGGTCTTGTACAAGTAGAACAAACTCCACAGGAGAAAGGAGATTTCTTTATACAAGACAAATCAACAGAATGCAAGACAGTTGATAGAAATGAACAGAAAGATACATCATCACAAAAATTAAATGAAAAAATTCCTAATACTAATAGTACTACAACAAATTTCAACGTTTCTGCAAGTCCAAAGTTATTATCAAATAAACAAAAATCATTACAGGGATTAAATAAATCAATTTGTGATGATCTAAATGATGTTACACCTCAATTAAACGAAATTACAACAAAATTATCATTGGAAGAAGAAATACAAGATTTAATACAAGATTCCTTTCAAAATAAATCTTTATCAGGCAATAGACAAACATCACAACCATCACAAAAGAATACTCCAATTAATGCATCTTTTGGTAATGTAAGTTGTACGGAAGATCTCATTACTTTTTCACCATATCTCACATTGAGTCGTGGCAAGAAGAATGCTAGAAAAGAACAACAGCAGCGGCTGGGCATTTATCCTCGCTTATCCTCCGATGAAATTCCAACCAAAGATACTGTAATGAAAAATTTGAATATATCTGTGGAAGAAGAGGAACGAACTGCGCAATATTTTAAATTTCTATTGAACAAAGAAACTGAGAGACTTAAGGAACTTTGTAGAAAATGGTTGGACATCAAATTAGAAAAGGATATTCCAGATGATGCTATGTATGAAATACATCAAGCAGTAGGACAGACAAATTTGCTAATAAATAAAAAGTTTGAGAGATTTCGTAGTTTAGTAGAAGATTGTGAAAATGGTAAAGGAGAAAAACTAGTTACTTGTAGAGATTTGCAAGGATTTTGGGATATGACATACATGGAAGTAAAGAACTGTGATTCGCGATTTGAGAAACTAGAGCAACGTCAAAACAGTGGATGGCAAGAAGAATGCATTGTTACCAAACCTGCTATCAAAAAACGAATGCCTATTAAAAAACAAATTGAACCATCAAAACATCAAGCCAAATCATCAAGCTCGTTACGATCATTAATTATGGCTGCCAGAAACAAAAAGATGCAAGGGAAAACAAGTAACTTGATGCAAGATACAAATGTAAAAGATGTAAGTATAAAATATTTTACACCTTCCAAAAATACCAGAAAATCTGTGAACTTTGATGATAGTACTGATACGCAGTGTAATACAAGGAAATCTAAGTCCTTCGAGCATACTCGCAAATCAACACCTGTTCGACGTGAAAGTTTCAAAAGCTTGGTACAAGAAGTGCAATTATCGAGCAATAAAAGAATAAAGAGTCCATTTGTCACTATAAAAGTAAGTCAAATGGGTAAAACACCAGAAATTCAATTAGATGACACAATATCATATATTAATTCCGATCAAACGCCTGGTAAGAGCATATTAAAGAAATCGGAAGAATTAGTACATAAAGAGACCCATACAAAATCTGCACATAAAGTCAATTTTGATGATCAGATAGTTCTAAATGAAGTCCCTCTTGATGAAGAAGAACAAACTAAATTAAATTTATCTCTTGCTTTAAAAAGAATAGACAGTCTCGATTTGGATGAATTAAGCCCAGAAGAGTGTTTTGATGCTGGAAAAAAATTAAACTTTGAAACTGATGATTCTGATCATTTTGATGATATGAATGAGATTTCGACGGAAATACAAAGATTAGATAAAGAAAAACCAAATAAACTGTCTATTCAGGATACCTTTGATTCTAATGCACATTTACTTAACACTACATTTGATAAAGAATCATCACCAAATGATGCAAGGATTATATCACCTAAGAAAAAATTAAAATATCAAAATCAACATAAAAATATGGAAAATTTAAATATATCTGCATCACCATTAGAAACTGAAATACCCTCTGAAAACGTATTTATAAATATTATACCTGCAACACCGTTAGAAACTGCAACACCCTCTGACACAATTTTAAATACGATAGAAATGGAAAATCATGATTTAGGGATAAAGATACTTAGAAATAGAACTATCACAACAGTTAATATTCCTAAAAATGATAGAACAAGCAAGAGTTATTGTGTAAGTTAATACTTTTTTTAATGTTAATGATCTTGAACTTTTTTTAATATTTAGAATTAATGTTATAACTGTAAATCAACTTATCTTGATAATATTGAATATTGAATAAGAATTTTTTTATACATCTTATACACCTATTATATATAAATATTAAAATATTTACATGTATTGTTTTAATTATATAAATGAAAACTAATTAAATAAAAAATAATTGTTTCTAGACTCCAAGGAAAAGCGTCACTAAAAAGGAAAATAAGGATCCTGTAAAGTTAAATAGAAAAAGTTTGTTAAAATTATCTGAAAAAGATGAAAATAAATATAAGACACCAGACAGAGACAGTATAACAGAAATGAGAAAAACGATATTGACAGAGAATATTGATAAGAAAAGAAGATCATCTCGAAAAAGTGTTGCATTTAATGGTAAAACTTTTGAATTTATTTACACATGTATTAAAAAGTACATGACTCTTGATGTAATTATATTTGTTACAGCGGAAACATGTTTGGCGTGTGCTGAAAGCAAACCAGTGTTACCTATGACTCCTCATTCGAAACGAAATCGTAGTAAAACGCCATCCAGACAAAGTCGAAGCAAACATGCGTGTAATGAGGATCTTATATTATGGGATACACCAAAACATAGTAAGTTTTATTAATATAATAAAAAGTACTACAATCATATATCAAAATATTCTATTAAAATTTTATTTCAGTTCCTAACAGAGTTACGAGGTCTCATACGAAAAATTAATGAGTTTTCTCATTACTTACGTTTATGTATATTTGATATAATACATGTTGTATTTAATAAGCAAATGATTTAATAGTACATATTGATATAACTCAAAATTTTACATATAATGGCATGTTTCAGCAAAATGTGCATATAAAAAAGTAATGTATTATATAATATTCAAGTTTCTTACTTATTGTAATTGAAGAATTCATTGAAAGATACTTTTAACATTTTTCTCTAATTTTTCATCTGATATAACTATTACTAAGATAACATTTATGTTTTTGTATAATTTTAAATATAAATTGAGACATAATATTGTAAGATTATTTCATTATAAAATTATTAAATAAAAATAATTACAAAAAAGTGAGAAGGTATAAAAAGAAACTGCTTTAACGTCATGCCGTGAATGCCGATTGAAGTCATGATATTGAAAAGATTAAACTATGATATTGTAAATAATAATTTTTATAAAACTATAATTATATATAAAATATTTACAATTTTATCTTTAACTATAATTATATATAAAATATTTACAGTTTTATCTTTAACTTAATTTAAATAAATTAACAAACTATATTATTTAAGAAGCCCACCATAATCTTACACTATTGTCTCTGTGTGTATTTTCATCACATTGTCTTTGACCGGAACTAGTTGCCATGATTGGTAAACTTCTATGTAAGCTCGTTCCATTTATACAATCTTTGGACAACTTTATTTTATATTTTGGATTCAAATTTTCATAATCTGTAATTTCTGATAATTCCCACACAATGATATTTCCATCAATACCACCTATAAAATACATAATTTTAATGGAGTATAATATTATTCTGTTATTTTGTGTTTACTAGCTTACCAGAAATTATTTGTTTATTATCAGGCGTGATAGCAAACTGTATTCTTTGATTAGTATCTGCTTGCCTTCCTTCAAAAGAATAAAGAATAGCTCCAGGATTACGAAGATCCCAACATAAAAATTCATCATTTTTTCGAACAACAGAGAATAATTTCATTCCACAAGAACTAAACTCAATTTGTGTTACGCCACTTCCAGTTTTAAAAGTACAAAGTGGTCCATCTTTGTACAGTCCTTTAAATACAAAAAATTAATTAAATACAATCAAAATTCAAAGATATCCTAATAAGTAGCATTACTAAATAGAAATGCATACCAATACACTTAGAATATGTGCCAAAGGCAGTTAGGCCTGGCATGACTGGATTTTCACGAATACATGAGACTAACCCGATCATATTTGGAAAATCGTGTTTAAATTGAATAGTACTTGTTTGACGTCCAGGACGATCTGTATCAAAAGTTCTCACAGCATTTTTAAAGCCGCACCATATTTCTCTTCCTGAATTTACAAATTGAACACTGAGAGAAGCTTCTATTTCATCCACTCTGAAAAAATATACACTCTTACATTTCAAAATCTCTCTTACATCACAAAAACTCAGAATATATAAATTAATTAGTTGATTAATATCTAACTGATATTAATCAACTAATAATTAGTTAATTAACTGTTAATCAAGTAATAACTAATAACTAACTGGTTGTAAGGCTGATATGTTGCGCGTAGTTGTCCTGTAAATGCATCCCATAAATGAACAGGACTCTCTCTACTGGCACTAAGAAAGCAACATGTTATGGGATCCCACGAGTTCATAAAAGGATACCAGCAAGCATCGTATATAAGACCTCCTTCTTTAACAGTTAGAGCAGGCATAAAGTCGGTCTGTATAAAATCAGATGGAAATTGGCCAGAGTATAACTCTTTGGGAAGTTCATAAATACGTATCCTAAAATCTTCTGATGGTACAAGTAAACATGTTCCATCCGGGGACCATTGGCAACCTTTTGTAAAATTTTCATACAGATTTGTAGGCTGATATTCTTTAGTAGCTACACATAATGGCCTCGGTGCTATTGACCAATTATACTGGATGCAGGTGGATTCTGCTGATTCGATATCTTCTGAATTTGTATTTTTTGATTCTGTGATGTCAACTTTGCAATTTTCTATTTGTTCTGATATTGTAATATTTGCTATTCTCTTTGAAAATAATGTATCGTGTGTTGTCTATAATTTAACATTATAATATAAGTCTTAGAATTAATTATTATTATAGTTTGTGCTATAATAATATATTTATCATACTTTGATAAAAGATATCCATACATTTATAAAAATCTATTGTTAATTATAAAAGTATTCGTACAATATTTTTACAATATTGTTTAATAATATTGTAAAAGTATTGTATTAATTCATGAATAAAATATAATCCTACTATATCAATATTTATGTATTAAACTTACTTGTGAAGAGTCAGAACAAATTTCATCTGAGATTACAATTGGATTTTTTTGTTCGCTAGATTGTAAGCAAGTTTGACTATTCATTAAATTACAGGAATCTTCAGTTTCTACGGTTTCTGATTGTATTTGATTATCTCCTTCAGTTCTGCTTTCTGTATCATCTTGGACTACATCATTTTTGTTTAAAGTTTCACACTGCGTCGTTATCAATGATGAGCATGATTTCACTGCGACTTCGTCACGTTCTACTTCCATTTTGCACTATACATTTCTTTTTCCTAAAATTTTTAATTTTTTTCACATAAATAAAAATTTTAATTACGAGCGATAATTGTTAACTGTGAAATTATTTTTTTAATATTACACACATGGGTTGCAAAATCAGCTGACAGGTTAGCTGTAAGGTTAGATTAGATTAAACTGTGTATTTCGATAAATTGGCAGAATATTGAAAAATCATTCATATATTATACGTATATTTTTATCGTAGATATAAATATATCTACGACTTTCATTCATTTATGACAAATATACTGCAATTTAAAATTTCACATACACGTGCACACAGTTCTGAATTAAATCACATGGCATTTTAGTTACGAGATCTTACGTTTGGCGCGCTGCGATCGCTTATTTGGTTATTTATTTATTTTTTTTTATTGAGCAATAAGCGCGCTCTGGCTAGTCACCATACAGCATGATACATGTAAATTATATCATCTGTTGGTAAGATTTAGCATTAGGTAAAAATATTGGCAATATCATATAATAAACTTCTTTGGTAGTATCCTAGCTTACACAAATTAAACTATAAAAACTTTTAATAATCTTAATACGTAAAAGAAATGCTTAAACATAAAGAAAACATTAAAGTTAAATCTTTCTTATTTCTAATGTATCATACTATAATAAAACAAATATATATAAATATAAGGAATGTATATCAAAATTTACGTTTAGTATTAATTAATCTTATCTTAATCTTAACCTACGCACTACAATTGTAAGATAAAAGCTATATAAAATTATATTCTATTTTCCTGTATGAATTATAAATATCGGCCTACTCTCGCATATTAATTAGTACGCATTTACCTTCGCACATACAGGGTGTTTCCGCCACATACAGATCGTAAGTCGGGTTGCCTATCTGACAATCGATCTTCTTTTACCGACCTCGCATAATAGAAAAATAATAAAATTAATAATATAATAACTTTTTTAAATAATTAAAAAAGTGATTAATAAATATCAAATATCAGTTTATTGCTAATTAAGATTTATAGAAATAACGGTTAAAAATATTTTTATTCCACAGCAGGCATTTTGTGTTTCGTAAATAAAAATATATAAACATGGCAATGAATATAGAAAAATATTTATTTCATCTTTGAACACTACATGGGAAGATTACAGTATCTTTCACGATTGCATAATTTATTTACTATTAATTTATATACATGTGTGTCTTGTTATACTCTGGTGCTACCGGCATTTCGTGCACATAGCACGGAACGAAACCAGAAATTGTGCACATGATACCCTCTGAGAACATTTATGGACATTGGCTTTTGTAATTCATGTCCACGTTTTCAATGTCCATAGAGGGAGTATCGCTTTCAGGGATCACCTAAAAGCTGGCCACGACATCTCTCAGTTTTCTCTCTGGTACTAATGTCTTTATTTTTTTTATTCGTATGTTGTCGAACATGAATAAAACGCGCGCGTTGCTACGTAACGAACAGTAAATAATTTTCAAAAGTGTGAATGTGAATATGCATATCGTTGAGAAAGATCATTGTCTGTGCGACTTAAAGGTATCAATTATATCTATTACACTATTAGTAAATATAAAAATAGAATTATTCCTTCAAGAGAGAGAGAAGAGAGATGATACAATGTAAAATATCAATTCCAAAATATATTACGCGTTTGTTGCAAATCTCGATACTTAGGTTACATTCTGCTAATGTCGTCTCTGAAAATTTTATTCGGATGGTCAAGATTTTCTCGAGTCAGTCGTCGAGTTTTAATCGAAATTTTTTTTCGGAAAGAACGTTTTGGAATGCGACCTTTAGGTCGTTTTAGGTAGAGTTATTTTCTTAATTCTACGTGAGAAAATGTTTTCAATAGACTACATATATATATATATATATATATATATATATATATATATATATATATACAGGTGTGTCCCGAAATTCATAATCTTTCAAAGACAGATTCCTGGGATCATTTGGAGACGATTTTTCCTCAGCGAAAATGTCGATGAAGGCCATCATTTTTTGCATGTTCCCGATTTTTGTCATCATATATCTTTGCAATTAAGCCTTAAATTAAAACTCAACTAAAGTAAACTCTATTTAAAATTGATCGAAGAATGTGGTTTCGTTAATATTTTATTTCCGATCACTTATAATCCGAAAATTATTAGTGCCTCGACATTTTTGATGAGGAAAAATCGTCTCCAAATGATTCCAGGATCTGTCTTTGAAAGATTGATTATGAGTTTTGGGACACCCTGTGTACATTTATATAAGAGTGTTTACAATACATTATTTTAATTAATTATAGCAAAAATATCAAATCATTTTATCGACAACAGACTGGACAATCTAGTGGCAATTTTCGCGACACTCTATGAGCATCTCCTTTCAATTTCTTTTCTCTGAATAATCATGATACTTGTAATTGTAACAGATCGCGCTGAGCCTGATTGACAGCGAGACATCTAATCGCAGTAGACGCGACAAACGAGCTGAAACCCTGCGGCCGGCATCGCTCCGTGGGTGGGAGTCTCTCCGGCCGTCGAGAGCCGCAAGTGAGTGAAGAGACTACCCGAAAGAACCACGCTCTCTACTCAGTCTGTCCGCGACCGTCCGTCAAGCAGACTTCTCCGACTCCCTCTGTTTCCCTCCCGGCCGTGCTCGATCTCGAAGGCCTCGTGAAAAACACATGTCATCAGCTGATGCAGCTGCTACCGGCTGTCGTAAGTGCATTAACGTGTTAATATAGATCCACGATCGTTAAATCCGATACCGTGTCGCGTGTGTATTTTTTCGGATTACGCGACTGCGATACTCGTGTATATATTTATATATGAAGGTGACTCGGCACGTGACAGAGTGTTTGTAGTGCATCCAGTGGTACGAGAGTCAAGTGGACGAGATGTGGTTGAGAAGATTTCCCTGGAGCCTCCTTATCGGCCTCGTGGTCGTCGGATTGTCACCCTGGCGTGTCGTCGACGGCTTCAATGTTGAGACGAAACACTACGCGGTGTATCGCATGGAGGCGAGATCTATGTTCGGCTTTGCTGTGTCGACGTATCGTGATAAATTCGCCCGAGGATGGTGAGTCTTTTCTTTTATTTATTATTGTAAATAAGAGCTCTCAAATACGCTGCTCGTATAGTTTCGCTCCAAGTTACTTTCTGTCATTGATAAATTAAATTATATGTTTTGAATTCCCACTGTTATTGTATTTCAAATGTGCGATTATATAAGGGCATGTTGCAAAATAGAGTATGTTTGGAAATGTATAAATGAAGAAGATTAAGAAAGATTATATTGATTACTAATGTTATAAAATGAATCATTCATTGATCTTAAAGAAGCATAGTAATCCGATGACACATCCTAGAAAGAATACCATATATGCATTATCACATGCACATGTATGTACTATTTTAATTTACTATCATATATCCTTCAATTTTTTGAAATATATTAAAACTGTGTGAAATTATACGATGCAGAAAAATTGATGCTCTTTACAAGAATTAGACAAAATAATTTAAGTCGTTCTTTTGTACATTTTTCATACACCAAAATGCATAAAATTTCATAAATTCTATAGATAAATTATTACCACGTAAATGGTACAATTTTAATATAGCAAAAGAAAAAATGACGAATTTTTCCCATGTGTAAATATAATTTTCCCTTTTAACTCGTCAGCCAAATGTTTGACTCACCGCTTGATTACCAAATGATTGACTCACCCGGCTATCGCGAAATAAAAAGTACCATGTAGACATTTTAATTTTAATTTCAAATCTTGATGATGAAATAATTAAATTATAAAATGATGATGAAATAATTAAATTATAAAATTATTTCACGATCATGTGGCAGAATTTAAAACAAAAATTAAAATGTCTACGTGATATAAATGTCTCCCTTTTTTATAAAAATATGTATATATCAAAAATATAAATTTTTTCTTTTATTTCTCGTTATGAAATAAATCGTCTCACATATACACTTTACGAGATAGAACGATAACCCCAAACGTTTGAGATATCAACAAGCAGGATAAGGGCCTCGTGTTTCATCTCAGGCTTTAATAACGAGCGATAATTCTCCATTCATCACGGATAAGTATAAGCTTTAGGGACACTTTAGTATGGTTGCAGTCCTTAAAAAGCGTCACGATTCTTCGGTTGCATCGCGATTCGCGCAAACGGGAGACGCTCGTTCTCGAATTTCGTGACTCACGCCCACGAATAAATGTTTCTGCTCCAGCTCTCGTGCGTCTCGATGATTATAAATAATATAAGTGAAATGGGGATACTAATAGTGTAGCCCGCATCGTCAGAATCGGCAGGAAAATCGACGTTGACGTTCAAATGGTCAACGGTGGCACAATGGAATATTGTGTCCAAGATCACTTTGCATGTTCACAGGTGATTAGCGATTAGCTGCGAGCTGCGAGCGGTGAAGCACAGCAGATGAGTCTATTGTCATAGCACAATAACTTTCAGAATTAGAAAAAAAGTTTTTTCCAAAAAATCTTCGATTCAATATATATATATTTTTTTTTTAAGAGAAAAATTAATTTAATATATTATACAATTAATTTAATATATTATATAATTAATTTAATATATTATATAATTAATTTAATATATTATATAATTGATTTAATATATTATATAATTAATTGAATATATAATTGTTCTATCATTTTCTCTTCAGACATGTATTTATGGAGATTGTTATTATTTTTGAAGGATGAGAAGAAGGCATTATTTTAATTAATTAAATGATGAAGCGGCATTATATTAACGATGAAGAGAGACGTCGGTGTGAAAAAGGCCGCAGGAAGTCCGGATTACACCGGGAGGTTTCGTAGGCGCTTATATTTAGGCCAGCCCGATGCAAGCTTTACGAGCGTTCGCGTTCGCGCTCGTTAATTCACCGTTCATGGGGATTAAAGCGCCCGCGATTGCCATTAAATTCCCGAAATAGAACGGGACCCCGTTATTTATACCTGCCTCTTGATCATTCGGCGCCCGATTCGATTTTTATCGCTCGCACGCTCGGACACCCGATATCGCGAGATCTTAAGTTAGGATCGCGAATACAAATGAGGGCCATAATTGGATCGAGACAAATTTAAGTCTCGCACGAGATTTAAATTATCGCGTCGCGAGGGGAGATAATAAATTCCTTCTTCTTCGCGGATACAACATCATCACCGGAAATACACCGATTTAACCAGGTACGATCGATGCGTTCATAGCACGAGACACTCCAAGTAATGCAGGATGTTAGATCATCGCTGGGACTGCACGGTGCCTTGCGTGGGCGGTTCATCACTCCCGCGCCGCTCTGATTAATACTTAATCTGCGGGCTCGATCTACTACGATCTACTATATACTACACGATGTTATCTCTTTTCACGGGCTTCCTCATTGACCGAGTCCCTACTTGAGCGTTGCATCAGCAGGGCTAAAGAAACGTGTATTTTATTTCAGCAAATATATATTATTTTAAATAGTATATTATTTTAAATATATATTATTTAATTTATTTTATATATATTATTTAATTTATTTAATTTATTTTAAATATATATTATTTAAATATATATTATTTTAGCAATATATTTGTAGAGACAAATTTTAATACAAAATTTTAGGAAAATACCTCATACTTTTTGAAATACGTTTTTATTTTAAATATTTACTTGAAATATATTTCCTTTATGTTGAAATTATTTAATCGTCATATCGACTAGCATATTTGTACAAGACCATAGAGCAGATATGAAAAAGATTTCTAGTTAGAATAATGGTTTTTATCATAAATCAATTAAAAGATTGTTAGTGTTTGCTTAGTGATCCAACGACGAGTCACTGCAATATCTGTATGCATTTCTCATGTACACGTGCACATATGCAATTTTTCGTATCGTAGCTGTAATAACAAGATAGCTGAATATTTAAATTTTTTACCGATTAGAAACGGGAAGCTATTTCATAATATTAAACACATAGATAAAATTACACAATTTATATTTACACATAAAATATTTGATGATAATATACATGAGCATATATATTTTTTCAATGCGAAAAGAATCTTGTTTCGGAGAAGACTGAATTAAGATTCGACCTCCCGTTGCGGCCTCATACATATGATTGGGAGCAGCGTGCATCTCGCATCCGATGCCACCTAATATCCACGAGCATTCTCTCTAAGGTGCGCACAATGTGCCATTATCACCAGCGGTGGTAATCTCTTTCATATATCCGCTCGGTCGTACATATATTCATGTAATCCTGGTCTCGTTTACCACTCATAAAAAATGTAATACGATTAAATAAAATCACGCTAGATGCAGCGTGAACGAGAGTTGTAAATCTTACAGGAAATTGAATTTTTTTCGCGCACGTGTGTGAAAAAAAAAGGAAGAAATAATCCCCCTTCGTGTGATTTATAAATTAAATATATATAATTTTTATAATATAACTAAATAAATAAAATAATATAAATAAATATATAATATAACAAATATATAATTATAAATTATATATAATTATAAATTTATAATATAAATTAATATATCTAATTTGTTTACATTACATAGAGTTGCAAGAAATTTAATCTATGCATTCTTGAATTAATTCTCCGTTGTTTCCAACGAGTATCTTTTCGAGGGATCTAAAGGATCCATCCGTTAATTTATTGTCGCTTAAGTTTAACAGTCTGCAATTGCTCGATGCATCAAGAATTATGCACCAGGAAGCAGCCAGAAGTAAGATGTATAAATGTCAGCGTATAGCAGAACACGTATCGTGTGATTCATTTGTGCGATTCGTGTCTTTAAGAGGCGAATGCAGTCACGATTTCGCGCATAGCAAGGCGAGTAAATGGAGATCGAATCACGCGTCGTCGTCTCTCTTAAACGTTTCGATGACTCGTTCGCTTTTCTGAATTCGCAGATTATGTACGTAGAAACCTGCCTGCGACCGCGTGTCGCGTACTAAATATAGAAATTATTTCACGACACCGAGTCTCGAGTCGCGAACAAACGCTCGGGACGTCGATAAGCGTTGTAGTCATGAGCGTTCAAGGCGAAATATCAAGAATGGCGATATCATCGTTTCTCACACATCACTTATTACCGATCCAATTAATGCTGTGGGTAGAAAATTACTTCAATTAAAATCGCACGATTAAAATGATAAGTTACTCATAAATTATGATAACTATGGAATATATTTAAATTTTTTGCCTCTATATCATTTTCCTACATTTTCTTGACACGTGTATAATATTACATATTATCATATTCAGAAACATTAAATATTTTTTGGTATATATATCAAAATAAAATTGGTTTTAATAAATAAAATTTTAATAAATTAAAATAAATGATAAATAAAAGGTAAATTAATTAATTAAAAGATTGCGTTGTTGTTAAAGTATCTTGATAAACGACAATTGATTGATCTTAATGCTATAAGTGCATCGTAAATATAATATCAGCGATGACGTTAAATTGCCTGGCGAAATGCATGCGAATGATTTCATGACGCGGCGTCTGTAAAGCAAAGTAAACATGCCGATAACCGCAATGCGCTATCCAGTACAAAACAACGAAATTAACGCCGCTCGTTTCTCATCGTTGCTCGCCTTGATGAGTGAAATTGCTAATTGACGGGTATCACAATGCAACGCGGAAATATCTTTCGGCCATTTCTTTAGAAAGAGAAATTAGCTCTCCTTTGTAAGCGTCCTTATCATCGCAAAATGCTCCTCGTTGATATCCCGGAAAGCGCAGTCTTATCATCGACCGCTTCCATATGATAAGTACATGATAGTTTAACGATGATTCGTAACGAGCTTTATTTCATAGATTTCTTGTCATTGTTTCATTGTTCTGCGCAAAACGATTGTGTGAGATCGCGAATGCAATTTTGCATGAGAACTTGATGAAGAGATACAAATACTCCTCTCCCTCCCTCTCTATCTTCATTAAATTATTATTTCCATCTTTTACCCTTGTAGAAAAATTATAGTAATTAATGTTTTTTTTTTTAAATAATTCTCATGCGCGTTA